GTTTGGTTCCTACATTATTGAGATTAAAAAGTGATTTTTATTAATTGTCACCCGATTTCAAATTTACGCGGAGAATCCAAAATTAGTGAAATAACAGAGGTTGTAATTGAATAATAAATTAACTATAGCTCACCACTATCATGGCTTTGATGATCTGGTCTGAGTAATTCTCCGGCTCCTCCTCTTGTAAATCCAACAAAGCCTCAAGCATGCTCTTCTGATCAGTCTTCCCCTTTTCCTTCCTCCTCCTCCTCTTCTCATTAATCAACCGCTGAAGCATCTCCTCCTTCTTTATATCCACCACCCTCATCCTCTTCCTCACCCCTCCCCAGTCCACAACCCTCGCCACCGCCGGAAAGAAATCCGACGCGGTCGAAACCCCGATCATCGTCATCACCTCCTCCACCATCTCCATGAAGCTCCTCGACTCCTCGTCCCCAACCCCATCCTCCCTCCCCACGATCATCCTTCATCATCAACCCCGAAAGCCACGCACAGGAACTCTGGCTTCACCTCAACCTTCCTCATCCTCGCCGTCGCGTTTTGCTCCACCGAAGAAGTTTCGGACGAGCACCTGAATCTCATCTGCCTGCGATGTGGGCGAGGAGGTTAGGCGGGAGGCCGAGAGGACGTGGGATCGGTGGCGATCGGCGGCAATGTTCCGCCAGTCGGGGCCGTAGAGGCGTGGAGAGGTGGTGAAGTGTCGTGAAGCCCTTGGCATGCGGGGAGCTGAGGCGAGACGGCGAAGGCGAGGCTCGTTCTTGTTGACAGCACTCGGCACGGCGACGGAGAGCGGGAGGAGACGACGAGGATGGGGTGGCGAGGCCGAAGCGGGGAAGAGCGAAAGGCGAGGTGGGGGGAGAGAGAGGCGGGCGAGGGAAGCGGGTGGACAGGCGGTTTGCTGAGTGAGGGGAGGTGGCGATGGATGGGAAGCGGAGGGGAGGCTCGGGGGTAAGAGGAAGCTGGGGCTTGACCATTGGGTGAGAAGCTTCTTGCTGGACGGAATAATCTGAGCAGGAGTTTGAGCAGGGAGGAGGAGATGGCTACCGGGAGCAGAAGACAGGTTTAGGAGTTAGCTCCATGGGAAAGACGATGAAACAATTCTGTGTACGGAGGCATGTTCTTGTATATAGGAAGGCGTGTGCGGGTGTGGTAGGGAAATCTGCTGCTGCCTCACTTTCTAAGCGGCCACACGTCCTGATTCGCCGCTCGAATTGAACCTCGAAATAGGTTGAAGTGATAAAAAAATGATGGAGGCGCACTCTAATTAATGCACACACGAACCATATTTCCTCTCTCTTCTACATGCAGGACCTCCACATGTGTTTTTTTTTTTAAATCAGCTATGGGGCCTTCTGCAACTGTAGAGAGAGAGGGGGAGGTGGTGGTTGCGTGGTGTGCTGTAGAGTGTGTCGTGGTAGCGCTCTCAGGTTGATTTGGCATCTCGCACTCCTTTTTGCAAGTGATGGGTGAGTGTGAAATCTTACTGTGTCACGTTTCTACAGGCGCCCCCCCACCTTATGTTTGGCAATCTCGAAACTGGAAATGTTGAAAGGGTTTGAGTTTTGGTGTCATGCATCCGCACTCCTTTTTTTTAAGATAATTTTGTTGATAGTTTTGGAAAAACTCACATATTGCCTCCTATGATTATCACCTAATATAGATTCTCCAACTAATCTATATATTCTCTAAAGAGCTTTGACTATTTCTCCACTAATCTCTCTTTACCCTCTAAGCCCAATCCAGTAATCTACGATCTCTTCTCTATCTCCCTGATAATACCCTCCTTAAGTTCTTCTTAGAAGTGACTCTCTCGCTCTGATTTCTCTGTAAGTCTCTCTCTCCTGCTCACGGAACAGAAAGCAAAGAAAGAGAGAGAATAGTGAGAAATCTATTCTTTATACAAGATGGGAGAAACAA